GTACAATCATATGATGTGAAGAAGAATTGGAGAGAAGAACCTTAAGGAAGGAACGGAAAAGCTGAATCTTGAATCCATTTCTTGCACTATTCAAGAAAATATTTTATTTAAAAACTAATTATATTACAATATAATTTTTCTTTTAAGAAGGCATCTGATCATAAACTTTATAGAGGCCGTAGGACATACCTTAAACGTGAAACACGCCGAGTTGTTGCAATCACTCCTGTCTAATCTTTTATGTAGAACATGGTGAATGATTTATAAAAGGATTTCCCTGATTAGCGTTTAATGAGATGAAACACTATGCAAAAAACCAGAAAGATGGAAATTCGAACAACCATGAGTGTTTTTGTCAGAGAAAACAAAGAGTAGTTTAAAAAAAAAAATTATTGTTGCGAATTTCTTGATCCTTTGAATCCATATATGATTATGTCGCATCTCTTATCAAGCATAGGGAATCAAAGACAAATCAAAATCGCGTTTGGTTGTAAAGTAGAAAAAGTGAGAGATAATGTATGATTATATCGCATCTCTTATCAAACATAGGGAATCAAAGACAAAACAAAATCTCGTTTCGTTGTAAAGTAGAAAAAAGCGAGAGATAATGAAGAATAGGTATGACATCCCATAATATTCTCAATAAGATAAAAATAAATATAATATTCTTCTAAAAGTTTATTTGTAAACGTGTGTTTGTACAACCCGAATTCTAAGTAAAAAGCTTAAAGATTTTTTTATGACTAAAGTCGTGTGATAGTTAAAATTAATGGTAAATGAATGAAAATACCGCTTTTATAATCTTTATAGGTTTGGTAACAGAACGGAGCAAATGTTTATTCGAAATGAAAATATTTAATTCTAAAATAATATATGATTGCCGCGTAATCCACTCTAAATCTTAAACACATTCACATGTAAATCCCACACAATAAGCTTACGTGTACGTCACGTTTCATTTGCTGTTTTTTTAATTCTTAGTTACAGAAATGTCTATAAACGAATGTATTCTAATCCTTTGATAAAATTATCTCTCTTTTTTTTTCTAATTATCAGGTTTAGTAAATAACTCGGAACAAAATTCTGCTTAAATGATGATGGTGAGATTACGATCCGAAGCAAACATGCTCCATTAATAATTATACATTACAAATTGTAATTTACAATGCTGCTGTTATGTCTTGCTTCATATGACACCACCAGTACTGGAACAAAGTGAAACTCAAGGCATTATTATTTTAAGAAGAGAGCCATGTTGTTGTTATTGACACAGAATATTATGGGAATGAATAGCTGGACGAGTACAAGTACCGTTACCGAACGATAGCTTTGAAAGTTTTGTAGATCATGTTGTTTTTTTTACTTACATTGGATCGATCTGAGATACATTTGGGATGCCTTTGTGACCATCTTCAGTGCTAATGACAATGGGCCTGTGTTATGAAAACAGAGAGGTCGTATCAGTCCACAAGAACTTATGATTTTTTTGCTTCACTTGTGACTTGGCCCATTAAAGTACTAATCAGAGCTTAATTGCATTCCTCGTCTCTTTAGTCTTATCTCTTTACTAATCAAATTTTGTGGTTCCCCCTAACTCTTGTCTGCGCTTTGCAAAACCCTAAAATTTCAACCATGAGCTTTCTGAAATCACTTCCTATTGATTTATCTAAGCTTTCTCCAATCCACATGTATGTCATCGTCTCAAGAACCGTAACATGTTCCAAGTCAGGGACATGTAGCCATATCGTAGCGGTTTTCTATTTTGCCGGCTCTTGACCATAATA